TATGGAAACAAAGTGATTTTGATGATGTATGGAGAAAAAATATTGAAAAAGGATTAAAAAACAAAGAAGGAAAGTTACCTTCACAAGAAGAATTGAAATTTTGGACAGATGACATGCAAAAGCCGTGACTTTGGAGAGGGGAGGTGTTGCAATCCAGAGCAGGAAACGAGGCCCTAAGATAACTGTCCACCACACTTGACTGTGAAAAAACAATCCTTTTTTATTGAAGAAAAATGGTTACAAAATAAAGGAAAAATGCAAGTCAAAAGCCACAGCAAAATCAGCAAACATGAATTTAAATGGACAAAAACAAAACCCAAAGCCACACTGTAAAATACTGGAACCTGTTAGCAATCCACTAACCGTACTTTATATCCTAGAAATCTTTTAAGACGATGGCCAGGAAAACCGGGAGAACTGCCAAGGTCTTCATCAATATGAAACGTTGCCTGAACTGAGAAAGGCACTTAAAGCCGAAGAATTGGTTCCAGGAACCGCCTCTCTGCTTTGAAGCCGTTGTTTGTATTTCTTTTAATCAGGAAGACCTTCACAAGCTGAGTGATTTACTTCTGTCTTGCCAGATCTGGCCCCTTCTGTTCTCATTAAAGTTACCAGGTTCAGAAGGGAGTGAAAGGTCATGGCTTCCCTCTGAAACATTCTCATGAACACTGGTACTTTCATTTTCCAAATCTACTGAAGTTTCTTCCTCACTAATTTCAGGAGCATTGGCATCAAGAGGTACATTTTCATTAGCATTTGTAAATATATTTTCATTAGCATCAGGAGGAACAAACAGAGAATCAGGTTCAAGTTCAAACTCAGGCTGAACCCCAACAGGAGGGGAGCACAGCAGTGAGGGATAGACAATATGTATAAGCAGAAAAATAACACTAGATGCCAAAAGTATGGTAGGTTGTATTGAATAATAGGTATCTGCTGTAAAACAAACAATGTATAACAAATGTATTAAACCACAATAAAATATTTTTTTTAAAAAATCAAGTAAGCTTCCCAAAATATATTTGCCACCAATTTTTTTTCACACTGGAGAGCTGCTGGTTCCTATAGTTGTGGTCAATAGGCTTGTGCATTTTGGGTGAATTTTGATCCATTTCTGTGTACCAGATACTGGAAGCCCCACATATCGGTTTTGAGGTTCCTCCCAAAAATAGGTGCATTTCCAAAAGGGCATTTTCATTCCACAGCCGAAATACCGACTATTTTCGGTCCATTGGCAGTAATGGGGGAAAATTCCCCTCCCCTTCCTATCATTTTAGGCAATGGCATTATTTTCCTTATATCCTTCATTAAGACCTGGATTAAAAGCATCAGAGTTACTTATGATACCACTCTTCCTGTGATGCTTTCCCCTTGGTCTGCAGAGAAGACCTTGGTTTAAAGAAAGGACTTAGGAGCAAAGATGTCACAATGCCAGGGCTCTGCCTTATTCAGGTAGAGATGAACCAAACTCCTTGTTGTTGTTGTTCATTTGTTCAGTCGTCTCCGACTCTTCGTGACCTCATGGACCAGCCCACGCCAGAGCTCCCTTTTGGCCGTCACCACCCCCAGCTCCTTCAAAGTCAGTCCAGTCACTTCAAGGATGCCATCCATCCATCTTGCCCTTGGTCGGCCCCTCTTCCTTTTGCCTTCCACTTTCCCCAGCATAATTGTCTTCTCTAGGCTTTGCTGTCTCCTCATGATGTGGCCAAAGTACTTCAACTTTGTCTCTAGCATCCTTCCCTCCAGTGAGCAGTCGGGCTTTATTTCCTGGAGGATGGACTCTCAGAACTTTCCTCCAACACCACAGCTCAAAAGCATCTATCTTCCTTCGCTCAGCCTTCCCTAAGGTCCAGCTCTCACATCCATAGGTTACTACAGGGAATACCATGGCTTTGACTGGGTGGATCTTTGTTGCCAGTCTGATGTCTCTACTCTTCACTATTTTATCGAAACTGGACATTGCTCTCCTCCCAAGAAGTAAGCGTCTTCTGATTTCCTGGCCACGGTCTGCATCTGCAGTAATCTTTGCACCTAGAAATACAAAGTCTGTCACGGCCTCCACATTTTCTCCCTCTATTTTCCAGTTGTCAATCATTCTTGTTGCCATAATCTTGGTTTTTTTGATGTTTAGCTTCAACCCAGCTTTTGCGCTTTCTTCTTTCACCTTGATTAGAAGGCTCCTCAGCTCCTCCTCGCTTTTGGCCATCAGAGTGGTGTCATCTGCATATCTCAGGTTGTTAATGTTTCTTCCAGCAATTTTTACCCCAGCTTTACATTCATCGAGCCCCGCACATCACATGATGTGTTCTGCATACAAGTTAAAAAGGTTGGGTGAGAGTATGCAGCCTTGCCGTATGCCTTTCCCAATCTTGAACCAGTCTGTTGTTCCGTGGTCAGTTCTGACTGTTGCGACTTGGTCCTTGTACAGATTCCTCAGGAGAGAGACAAGGTGGCTTGGGATGCCCATCCCACCAAGAACTTGCCACAATTTATTATGATCCACACAGTCAAAGGCTTTAGAATAGTCAATGAAGCAGAAATAGATGTTTTTCTGAAACTCCCTGCCTTTCTCCATTATCCAGCGGATATTGGCAGTCTGGTCTCTCGTTCCTCTGCCTTTTCTAAACCCAGCTTGTACATCTGGCAACTCTCGCTCCATGTATTGCTGGGGTCTTCCTTGCAGCATCTTGAGCATTACCTTACTGGCATGAGAAATAAGGGCTACTGTACGGAAGTTTGAGCAGTCTTTCGCATTTATTTACCACAAACTCCTAGTTTGTGGTAAATAAATAAATAAAAAATAAATAAGCAATGAAGGCATAGAGGTCACAAGTACTACTAAAAATAAATAAAATTAAATTAAATTTGGGGAAAATACACTAATAATTAAGTCATTGTGATTGTATTGACACGTTCACCTGTTTGCACTAATGCAGAGCTTTAGGAGCCTGACCATGATAGATACAATATGTCAATTCAGCCAATATTTGGATGTAAGGGAGCATTTTTTAGCTGATCAAAGACTATTTAATAGGCAATAATTTATGAAATTACAGCCCATTGTTGCTGAATTTATGAGACGGCATTTAGTAGCTCAATGTTCTTGGAAATGAAATAGAAACCGGAATCTCTTGCAAAGCTTGGTTTATAATAATTGGATGTATCTGTGTGTTTTACAGTTCATTGTAATGAGTTTAGCAGCTGGATATCTATTCTGTGCTTGGCGTTGCAATTTTTTCCTTTTTTCTTTCTTTGTAGGCCTCAGCATGGGGGTAAATTCTGTCAGGGTTCAAGTCGCATTTATCAGCTTTGCAATACTCATCCCTGCCCATCTGGCGGTCCCAACTTCCGTGCCCAGCAGTGTGCCGAATATAACAGCAAACCTTTCCGTGGGTGGTACTACAAATGGAAACCTTACACCAAAGTAGAAGGTAAATTAGTAATTGTGGCCAGTTATTTGTTTCATATCTTGGCTTGTCTATTGAAATCTTTGTAGCAGATCAGCTTTATCAAAGATTTAAATCAGGACCACTCCAAGTTGTGATCTATGAACTGGGGGTAGCAAATCACTTTGCGGTAAATTTTCAGAAAAGAAATAAACAATATATTGTCGAAGGCTTTCATGGCCGGGATCACTGGGTTGTTGTAGGTTTTTGCGGGCTACATGGCCATGTTCTGGAGGCAATTTTTCTCCTGACGTTTCGCCTGCATCTATGGCAAGCATCCTCAGAGGTAGTGAGGTCTGTTTGAAGTAGGAAAAATGGGTTTATATATCTGTGGAATGACCAGGGTGAGACAAAGGACCCCTGTCTGCTGGGGCTAGCTGGGAATGTTTCAGCTGATCACCTTGATTTGCATTCAATGGTTTGGAAGCGCCTGGGGGGAATCTCTTGTTGAGAGTGATTTTATGTGCCTGTTTGTTTGCCCTCTGTTGTTTTGCTGTTGTAATTTTTGACTTTTTTAATACTGGTAGCCAGATTTTGTTCATCTTCATGGTTTCCTCCTTTCTGTTGAAATTGTCCACATGCTTGTGGATTTCAATGGCTTCCCTGTGTAGTCTGACATGGTGGTTGTGAGAGTGGTCCAGTATTTCTGTGTTCTCAAATAATATGCTGTGTCCAGGTTGGTTCATCAGGTGCTCTGCTATGGCTGATTTCTCTGGTTGGAGTAGTTTGCAGTGCCTTTCATGTTCCTTGATGCGTGTCTGGGCACTGCGTTTGGTGGTCCCTATGTAGACTTGTCCACAGCTGCATGGTACACAGTAGACTCCTGCAGAGTTTGAGCAGTCTTTCGCATTTCCCTTTTTTGATATGGAGATATAAGTTGATTTTTTCCAGTCGGATGGCCATTCTTGTGTTTTCCATATTTGCTGGCATATGGCATGCATCACCTTGACAGCATCATCTTTTAAGATTTTAAACAGTTCAGCTGGGATCCTGTCGTCTCCTGCTGCGTTGTTGTTAGCAATGCTTCTTAAGGCCCATTCAACCTCCCTCCTCAGGATGTCTGGATCTAATTCATTCACCACACTGTCAAAACTATCCTCGATATTATTATCTTTCCTATACAAGAGGGATCCTCTCACCTCTGCAGGAGTCTACTGTGTACCATGCAGCTGTGGACAAGTCTACATAGGGACCACCAAACGCAGCAAGGCCCAGACACGCATCAAGGAACATGAAAGGCACTGCAAACTACTCCAAACAGAGAAATCAGCCATCTCTGTCACCGGAGGCAAGGGCCACCATCTACACAGGGTTCCAGGGCCAAGGCATAGCAAGGCACCTTCCTGGCTCTCCTTCCTTCCCCATGTGATAAGGGGAAGCTAGGATAGAGCAGGGCGTGGGGCGACGGGTCCCCACGTTCACTTGGGTGGGCACCACCAAAATACGATGAAACTGGCTGATTCCAGTGGCACATGTGACAAGGTCCTAGAAATAAAACTGATCATCGGGAAAATGCAGGAAGCAAGACTAGAATTTATTTATTATTTATTTATTTATTTACATTATTTCTATCCCACCCATTTCAGCCCGAAGGCTACTCAGGGCGGTATACACAGTCGGCACAATTCGATGCCGAAACAAAATACATACATTAATAAAGCAAAAACATCAAGTGCAATTAAACATAAACAACAGTGCATAATAAACAATTTAAAAAGAAACTATGTCCTCTCGTTCAAATCTTCATCCGTTACATTGTCTTGGCCGTTCCTGGGTCAATGGTACAGCCATGTCATGAGAAGAGAACCAACATCAGTAGCACAAACAGCACAACATTTGGAGATTGCAGGATGATGATCACTTGGAGCACCAAAGAAAAGATGGATGGATAACACCAATGAAGACATGTGTGCTGCCAACCTGAGGATACCCAAAACAAAACCTTGTGGAAATGACAGTCACAATGCTAACCCCTCCATTGGGAAAATCGCTTAGAAAGAAGAGTCCCAATTAGATATTGCTAAATTGGGTTTAATCTAGTTAGGACTAAAAACTGAATTTAGGCTTAAGATGTTTTTAATTATAATCTGAAAATTAGAAAAAACGTATTAGGAGTGAGTTTAATATAGTACAGGTTGAAATGTGTAGGACAGTGGTTCTCAACCTTCCTAATGCCACAACCCCTTAATACAGTTGCTCATGTTGTGGTGACTCCAAACTATAAAATTATTTTTGTTGCTACTTCAGAACAGTAATTTTGATACTGTTATGACTCTTAACGTAAATATCTAATAGGCAGCAGGATGTATTTTCATTCACTGGACCAAATTTGGCACAAATACCTGATATGCCCAAATTTTAATACTGGTGGGTTTGGGGGGGGGAGGATTTTTTTTTCATTTAGGAGTTGTAGTTGCTGGGATTTATAGTTCACCTACAATCAAAGAGCGTTCTGAACTCCACCAACAATGGAATTGAACCAAACTTGGCACACAGAACTCCCCTGACCAACAGAAAATACTGGAAGGGTTTCGTGAGCATTGACCTTGAGTTTTGGAGTTGTAGTTCACCTAAATTCAGAGAGCACTTTGGACTCAAACAAGGATAGATCTGGACCAAACTTGGCACGAATACTCAACATGCCCAAATGTGAACATTGGTGTAAGGTAAAGGTAAAGGTAGACCCCTGACATTAAGTCCAGTCATGTCTGACTCTGGGGTGTGGTGATCATCTCCATTTCTAAGCCGAAGAGCCAGCGTTGTCCGTAGACACCTCCAAGGTCATGTGGCCGGCATGACTGCATGGAGCGCCGTTACCTTCCCGCCGGAGCGGTACCTATTGATCTACTCACATTTGCATGTTTTCGAACTGCTAGGTTGACAGAAGCTAGGGCTGACAGCGGAAGCTCACGCCGCTCCCCGGAATCGAACCTGCGACCTTTCGATCAACAAGCTCAGCAGTTCAGTGTTTTAACCCACTGCGCCACCGGGGGCTCCGTAGTTTGGGGAACATAGATCTTGACATTTGGGAGTTATAGTTGCAGGGATTTATAGTTCACCTACAATCTAAGAGCATTCTGAACCCCACCAATGATAGAACTGGGCCACATTTTCCACACAGAACCCCATGACCAACAGAAAATACTGTGTTTTCTGGTGGTCTTTGGTGACTCCTCTGAAACCCCCCCTTGGGACCCTTCTGGGGGTCCCGACCCCCAAGTTGAGAAACGCTGGTGTAGGGTCAACATAAGCCAACAGGCCCTTAGAATTCCTCTGACTGGAATATCACTACTATTTTAAAACTTTATAATCAACCTGTTTTTTTCAGAGAAAGATCTCTGCAAGCTGTACTGCACAGCAGAAGACTTTGATTTTTTCTTTGCAATGTCTAATCAAGTGAAAGACGGAACCCCCTGCTCCTCAAACAACCATGACGTTTGCATTGATGGGATCTGTGAGGTAAGGTTCAGCTTAAAGTACTTTCTGTTTCAGGGATGCTCAGTGGTAAATAAGGACAAGAATCTTATGATGCTGAAGGCAATGCAGTTTTAAAAGGGAATTTTCAGAGATGTTCCCAATGCCCATATGTCAGGATTTTATTTATTTATTTATTTATTTCGTGTACTTCTACCCCGCCCTTCTCAACCCTCGAGGGGGGACTCAGGGTGGCTTACAAAAGGCACATCTTGGTGCCTACACAAATACAATAACATATAAAACCAGCAATAACATGGTTAAAATTAAAACAATTATAACAACAATATATCACACAATCAATAGCCAATCTCAGACACAGCGTTCGCCAACTCAGAGTTCATATTTCATTCCACCTTGTCCAATTCCTATCCATCGTCACAGTCCCTTATTCATCTGCCAGATTGCCCAAATGCCTGGTCCCACATCCACGTCTTTAATTTCTTTCTGAATGAAAGGAGGGATGTTGCTGATCTGTTCTCCCCGGGGAGTGAATTCCATAGGTGAGGGGCCACCACTGAGAAGGCCCTGCTCCTCATCCCCGCCAATCTCACTTGTGACAGAGGCGGGGTCGGGAGCAGGGCCTCCCCAGAGGATCTCAGACTCCGAGATGGGACGTAAAGGGAGATGCGTTCGGACAGATACTGCCATATTGGCCATATTGGCCATATTGCTGATTGTTTGAGAAAACATTGCTCCAGAGAAGAAGTTACTATTCAAGGATTAAAAGTATATCCAGATAAAACTGGTGGCTAGTTAGAGCTCTTATGTTTCCCAGTCGCTCTGGAGTTACGTTTCAAACGGAATAAAATTTTCAGCTTCCTTGATTTTCTTGTTTATTTTGAATTTTGAGATTTTATTTTTTTTAAATCATGGAAATATGTACATGTTTATTTATTTATTTATTTATTTACTATATTTTTACTGTCCCTCTTAGCCTGCAGGTGACTCGGGGCAGTTTACAATTGGTGCCAGGACCATAAAATACAATTTCAATAAATAAAAACAATCAGATAATAAAACCATAACAAAATCAATAAAACATCGACATTAGGGTCTCCTGTTAAAACATTGTCCAATTATCATTCAGCCATTCCATTTCCTATGTCTATTACACTGTATTTGGAAATGCCTGCTCAAAGAGCCAAGTCTTGACTCTCTTTCGAAATATTAAAAGGGAGGGGGCCGATCTGATATCCTTAGGGAGGGCATTCCATAGCCGAGGGGCCACCACTGAGAAGGCCTTTCTCTCGTCCCCGCCAGCCATACTTGTGACGAAGGCGGGACCGAGAGCATGGCCTCCCCAGACGATCTTAAAGTCCTGGATGTATTTTCCACTAATTGCCCATTTTATGTGCATCTTTCCCTTAATTTGTAATTTTTTGTCTGCATTCCTTGACGGGTAAATGCTTGCTTTACATTGAGTAAAGCAAGCATTTGTAAAACTAGCTATGATGTGCATTGAAAGGGGCACCAAATAAAATTCTCTCCAACTTTTCTCATAGTTCAGCTGACATCCTATTGAGAAATTATATCATGGTAAACCAACTCTTTGGAAACCGACTTTTGCCATCTTTAAAAGTAGCAGTTACTTTGTGTTTCCTTGTGGTCTTTCAAACTGACTTTCTTTCTTGCAGCAAGTCGGGTGTGACCATCAGCTCGGCTCTAACACTACATTGGATGCTTGTGGCATATGCAAAGGAGATAATTCTACATGCACCTTCTTTTCAGGCCATTATTTGATACAGCATAAAATGAATGGTAAGAGTAAGAAAATTCCACATGAGATTTAAGCCAGGTTTTTATTTGCTTCTCCATATAGTTTGACTCCTTGTACTTTAAGATTGCAGATTTGGAAAACTGAGGTCCCATCTACACTGTCATATAAGGTAGCATAGGAAACAAATTGGCTTGCGTGTTCAAATTATGCTCCAGACTAGTTTGTTTTAACCTGGAATAAATCTGATTATCTAAGTTTATTCCAGGATTTAAAGCTGGACCTTCCAGTACAGTCTGGATCTTTGCAGGTATGGGGTGGGTCGGGACTGCCTCCTGGGATAACTCCTCTCTAGGTCAGGTATGGACAAACCCAGGCACAGGGGGCGCGCAGAGGTGGCCCTAGGTAATTTTCAACGGTAAGCAAACAGTATTTTGGCGCCCCCCCCCCCCAACCAATCATTAATATATATTTTCTGTTCATCGTGGGAGTTCTGTGTGCCATATTTGGTTCAATTCCATCATTGGTGGAGTTCAGAATGCTCTTTGATTGTAGGTGAACTATACATCCCAGTAACTACACTTGCCGCACTTGCTCCCTTGCCTGGCCCACTTTGGGTCTGGAGGCGTGCCTGAAGACCCCGGCGTGTGCACCAAAAGTCACCTCTTCTCCTGACTTTCTCCTCAGCCATTGGGACCAAGAGAGAGAGACAGAGGTGGAGATGCCCACCTTTCCTGAAGGTAGGCGCAAAAACAAAGGAGGGAGCGGGGGTGGGAGATACCTCCAGCCGAGAGGCTCTCTCTCTCTCTCTCTCTCTTGGTCCCAATGGCTGAAGAGAAAGTCAGGAGAAGAGGTGACTTTTGCTGTGCACACGCCAGGGTCTTCAAACATGCCTCCGGACCCAAAGTGGGCCAGGCACGGCGGCTCCGCCCCTTGGCCCACCCGCAGATTGGGGAGAGGAGAGGAGGTGGGTGGAGCGCCGGGGGATCGGGTGATGGGGAAAGGATCGAACACGGAGAACGATTAAGCGCCGGCTCTGTTCGCGCACCCGATGGCCAGGTGGAGCAGGAACGAGAGGGGCGAGGTGAGGATCAAGGGCCCGGCCCCTTTGGGAAGAGGATCGCCCGGCAGCGAGGCAAGAAAGCTGCTAGGGCTGTTGTGAGCTGAGGGGGCGCTCCTCAAGTGGCGGTCGAGGGGCATTTACAGAGGCGCCTCTGCGCCCCTGGCAAAAAAAAGTGTTCTGCGACCGCTTACTTCACGTAATGGACGAGCCGCCCCTGGGCGCGGGTCAGGCAAGGGCTCCTTGAGCTCTTTTCCTAGGCCCTCCTCTCTCTTATCATCTTATCCTTCCTTCCTTCTCTCCTTCCCTCCTCCCTTCCTCTTTCTCCTTCCCTTCCACCCTTCCCTCCCTTCTTCCTTCTCTCTTTCCTTCCTTCCCTCCCTCCCTATCTTTCCTCCCCTTCTACACCCTCTTTCTCCCTTCCTCCATCCCTTTCCACTCTTTAGTCCTTCCATCCTTCCTTCCCTTTTGTTTTTCTTTCCTTCTCTCTTTCTTCCCTCCTTCCCTCCCCCCTTCCCCCCTTCTCCTTCCATCCTTCTCTTCCACCTTTCCATCCTTCCTTCTCTCTCTGACTCTTTTCCTTCCTTCCCTTTTGTCTTTCCTTCCTTTTCTCCCTCCCTCTTTCTCCCTCTCTCCATGCCTTTCCACTTTTTAGTCCTTCCATCCTTCTCTCCCTTTTGTCTTTTCTACCTTCTGTCTTTCCTTCCCCCTTACTTCCCTCTTTTCCCTCCCTCTTTCTCCTTCCTTCCCTTCCACCTTTTTGTCCTTTTTCACCTTTTTGTCCTTCCTTCCCTCTCTCCCCCTTTCTCCTTCCTTCCTTCCCTGTTGTCTTTCCTTCCTTCCTTCCTTCCTTCCTTCCTTCCTTCCTTCCTTCCTTCTTTCTTTCTTTTATCCTTCCTTTCTTTACTTCTATTCTTCTTTCCCTTCCTTCCTTCCTTCCTTCCTTCCTTCCTTCCTTCCTTCCTTCCTTCCTTCCTTCTTTTTCGTTCGTCTTTACTTCTTTCCATCTTTCCTCCTTCCTTCCCTCTCTTCCTTTTTCTCCTTCCATCATCCCCTTCCTCCCTTTCATCCTTCCTCTTGTCTCTCTTTCCTCCCTCCCTTCCTCCCTCCCTTCTATCACCGGACAGCCAGTCCTCCTAGCAGAGAGTGCTAGCATGCACCCCCCAAGTTAGAAAGTTTGCCCATGCTGGCTCTAGGTTTTCCAAGGTGAGTCTGTGTTCAGTTTCCAGTGGACGTTGACCATAGAGTCATGCTGAAAAATCTAGAAAATCTCATAAAGTTGTTCTCTCAGTTTTAAAAATAGTTGTTTCTTTGTGGTTTTTCACTTTCATGGAATCCTTTGCCCCATATTGTACAACTGCAACAAAATGCTACATTTTCTTTCTTTTTTAGATTATTACCCTATTGTTACAATTCCAGCAGGCGCTTATAGCATTGAAGTCCAAGAATTGCAGATGTCTGGTAGCTACCTTGCAGTGCGTAACTTAAATAAGAGGTATTACTTAACAAAGGACTGGACTATTGACTGGCCTGGAAAATTCTACTTTGCTGGAACAATATTTGAATATCAGCGCTCTTTTAACCATCCAGAGAGACTCACTGCATCTGGGCCAACAAATGAGACCCTTGTCTTTGAAGTAAGTTTCAGTCGTCTATTAATTCCACTTTTGGGATTTGTTTCGTAGTTTCCACTGGGAGTGGTTCTACATAGACCACTTATCCCAGGGATGATCTAGTGTGGTGAACATCAAATTGACTGCTGAGGCCTGGTCAGATTCTGTGTGTTCAAATGAGGAGGAAGGATATGCTGGAAAAGATTCAGAGGGACCAGAGGAGACTGGAAGCGACTCAAGAGAGAGATGTTTCCAAATCTTCTGCTCCTGACATACCCCAAGAGAAAGGTGAAGGTGATTTTTGTTCCCATGGGAACCTGCCAGAAATGCAGAATGTGGGAGACAAATGTTTCAATATGAATGGGTTCCTGAGTTAGTAAGCTCAAAAAATATCCCAATTATACATAAAATAGAAAATAATAAAATTGAGGAGACAAATGTTTGCTTCTCCAGTCAACTTAGATATAAGGCACAAGATGGCAGGTGTAAGAGAAAGGATCTCATGGGAGGGATTCTGGCTTTTAAAAAGTGATTCATGCTGCAATATTCTTTGTGAGAGCAATGCTGCATTCAGGTGAAGATCTCTTGGTTTCATGGGCCTTGTATTTCATGTATTCAAGTTTTCAAGTTTTTCCCGAATTCTGATCCTGTGAGGCATAGCTTTGCCTGCCTTAGATTTATGTACCTTGTTTTGGAATTTCAGTGGAATTGATTTAGAGACTTTCTTTGAATTCGTTATTGGACCTTTGGCTTTTGAACTTCCATTCCTTTTTATATTTGCTTGCTTTTCATATATTCAGCTTTTATTAAACACTTACATTGGATCAATTGGACAGTGTGTGGTTTGTGGTGAAAAGAGACTCCAGGGCTCTAGTGCAACATTGACCCCTGGATGGTTTAGACTGCCACCTCCGACTGCTGCAGAGGTGGGAGGAGTTCTGACCATCTGGATTCAGTGTCCACTGTCCCATCCCATCCCATTCTCTTCGTTACATTGATCTGTTGGGTTTTTTTTGTCATGTCAGGAGCAACTTGAGAAACTGCAAGTCGCTTCTGGTGTGAGAGAATTGGCCATCTGCAAGTACGTTGCCCAGGGGATGCCCAGATGATTTGATGTTTTTAGCAACCTTGTGGGAGGCTTCTCTCATGTCCCCATATGAGGAGCTGGAGCTGATAGAGGAAGCTCATCTGCCTCTTTGTGGATTCGAACCTGCAACCTGTTGGGCTTCATTTCCCAAAAGTTCCAGTCTCATCCTATCCTATGTTTCTCAAGCTCAGGTGGCCTAGAGACACAAGATTGCAGTACCTCTCCCCCCTCAAGTGAAACATGTCCCACCTGTTCTCCTTCACATGCCATTAAATTTGTTTGAGTGTCTTGGAATGCTGGGAAAAGAGCAAAGAAAGGAGCAGGTGACAGAGAACGTGTAGGACCTGTGTTGTGGCTGAAAACCATCAACACATGAGTTGGTGGGGAAGTTATGGTGGCTACTGAGCTATGGAAACTCCCTACAATCTCTGTGGTGGCTGGGGTCAGTCCTACAGGGGAGTATACCAGGGGCTGATCTGTTGTCCATCAAGTCAGTCCAGCCGTGGTTTTGTGTATACCTTCTCCAGGTTTCTGATGTAGCTTAACCAACCATATAAATTCATTGCCCGACTTACCGGGCAAGGCCTGTTGTGGTGGGGGGTGCCCTCCCTCTGGCCATGTTGTTAGCAGGGGCTTCTCTTTCCCAAAAGCCCCTGCGTTGCTGGAATTTTCCCACCACTGGATCAGCTGGCCAATCAGAGGCTAGCTCCTCCCAGCCCCTGGCATTGGCCAGGGGCTGGTCGCACCCTGTGCCCAGCGGCCTTAAATAGGCTGCGCTGGGGCCCAGCAGGCACCAGGCCTGCTTCGAGTTGTCCTCCCACCCACCCTGCATGTTCATGGTTTTGTTCATTGTTGCAATTGGTTGTTCATTATCTGTTCGTCACAACTCCGGTTGGCATGTGGCATGGGCCCTGGATCTGGTTCTGCCCCTCCCCTATTGGCGGGGAGGGAGCATCTGGTGGTTTCCAGGGGTGCCGTGTCATGTGACCCGGTATTGTGCCGGTGGGCCCCCTGTTGGACTCATCAGGTATCGGTCAGCATCGGGCTGATCGATCTTGATCCAGAACCCATGCCTAGCAGCCAACCCTGTGTTCCTGTAATTAATAAATTAAGTTGTGGCCATTTTTACTCCATCTATGTGTCCGCGTCATCTCTGGTTCTGTGGGAGGGAGGAGTGTCGCCCATCCACACGCAACTATATGCACATAAATTTACACTATGCAATCGCTGTAAAATAATAACAGTGACAATAATAATAATTATATTTATTTATTTATTTATTTACAACATTTGTGTCTTACCCATATCAGCCCAAAGGCAACTCAGGGCAGCGTACAAGTCGGTAACAATTAGATGCTACATATAAAAATACAAACATCAATAAAAAGCAAAAACATCACAAAAACATCGCGATACATTTAATAATAATTAATAATATTTTAATCTGTCTTTTCCCTTATTGTTGAAGATGGACAAAAACATTAAAATACAGCAACAGGCATACAACGTCATTTGAAAACACTTAACATTACTTACAAAATATATAACAGCTGTAAAAGGAATATATAAAACCAAAACATATTGAAAGAGCCAATTCATACTCCAAAACTTATAATTTAAAAAACATCTGGGTAGGCTTGCCGGAAGAGACTGATCTTCAGAGCTATTTTAAATTCAGACAGTGTATCCAGCTGTTGGATCTTTTCTGGCAGGTCAAGTCCCCATCTGGGGACAACTGAAGAAAAAGTCAATTGGGTGATAGTTACTGGCTAACTGAAGTCAATATTCCAAGAAGATCTTTTGAGTATACAAGGCGGATTTTACATGAAAAGACAATCCCATATATAATCTGGATTCAAACCATGTTTGTAGGCTCTGGGTTACAATCATCATTACCTCCATAATCACCACCACTTTTATTGCAAATTTGTTTTTTTTTAAGGGTTTACATTTTTATTGCCAGAATACTAAATGTTAGGGCTGGGTAACAATGGAAAAAATTGTTTCTAAACTCGTTTCATTTTTAGGGGGTTCATTGTGTTTCGTTTTTTAAAAGAATTCCGAATTTTTCTTTAAAATTTTTTCGTTATTTACGAAATTTCGTAAATTTCGAATTGATTCGTTAATGGCGGACGCGATTGCACAATACACTAAAAAAACCTCCAAATGGGACAGGGGGAACTTCTGAAGCTTCCCTCTCCCTCTGTTGTTGACTGTTGGTGTGATAATTTATTTTTTTATCACTGATAAAACAAACAACAACTATAAAACTTGCACCAGACATACGGAAATAATAACGAAACGATTTCGAAACGATTTCAAAACGATTTCAAAACGATTACGAAACAATTATGAAATAAATTGAAAAATTCGTTCCGATTTTTAGTTGCTCCTGCATGGCTCAATATCGGATCGTAAGCTAATTTAAATACGAATCAATAACGAATTACGAAATTAACGAACGAAACCGCCCAGCCCTACTAAATGTTATGCAGTCAGGCTTGTTTGATATTGCACAGAAAACAAGCAAGCAAAACCAAACAAAAGATTGTCCATAGCCAAAGAAAAGCACATTCCAACAAATTCACCCTAATAAACTGGGAAATGACCAATGGAAAGATAGCCCAACGCAACTGATTATAAGACTGTTTGGAGATGATACAGCAGTTCCCTGCTGCCTTTAGTCAATTTGCTTCAACCGAATAAGCTGGGTTTTCATGTTTTTGTATTACTGTCAGGGTGCTTTTAAAAAAAAACACTTTCCTTCGCAGTGTAGTGCACAACAATAATAATCTGTATTGCAAATTCGTTTTTGAAAGACTAGCATGTGAGAATGGTCATCTGTTCTAGTCAATACCCTTTAAAATCATATACCGTAAGTATAGCTTGTTTATTGTGAATTTACAGGCACATAAATGTGATATAACTAAAATGTAGCATCTCACTAAAGTATTCAGAAGCTTCAAATGGTCCAGCGGGTGGCAGCCAGGTTCCTAACGGGACCAGCGCTCAGGGAGCACACAATGCCTCTGTTGCGACAACTCTGCTGGCTGCCAGTTTGCTACTGGGCACAATTCAAAGTGTTGGCTTTACCCTATAAAGCCCTAAATGGTCCCAACCCAGTCTACCTGTTCGAATGTATCTCTCCCTATGAACCAGCTGTGAATTTAAGATCTTCTGGGGAGGCCCTGCTGTTGTGACTCAGTTTGATTCTGAGTCTGAAACTGTACCCTGTGGGTCTTGTGAGCCTTGTGAGCCAGAAGAGGATGATGGGATTCAGATTTCAGGGCCTGTTTCTGTGCCTGTCTCAGACAGTGCAGCAGGGGAAACAAGTCGGTTCTCAAGGGAAAAGAATGCCAGTAAGTTAGATAACGGCCAGGTGGAGTTGTCTTCGCCTGCTCAGCCTTCCCACGGTGATTTGGTCCAGCTGGACCAAACTGATAAAGAAGGGAGTATTGAAGATAGTGAATTAATGAGCAGGCAAGAATGCTTAGAGTGGAGGGTCAGGAGGAGTTCTCGCTTAGCTAGTAAGAAAGAAGCCAAGTCGGCAAAAGGTCATCGCAATGCTTTCATGATGGCAAAGGGTATTTAGGTTTCTGGCTGACAAAGAGAAATTGTCAGTTCAACGTGGCTCTTTCCATGAAAGTGTCTCTGGATTAACCTTGGCTATAAGCAGCACGCTTTGGGCTTCCTGAATCTTGGATTTTTGGGTCTTGTGTTTCACTGTTTTACCATGGACTCTTGTTTGATCATTGCTTAAAGGATTATGCTTATGTTTTTGCCTTTGGATCTTGGGAACTGTGTTTTGGCATTTAACCTTTGTCTTTGGAACGTTGCATTGCTCACTCTGTGTTTTGACTTTGTTTTTCCTCAATAAACTACAAAATCTACAGCTCTTGTGTGGTGGTGTTTGGGAGCAAAGTGAAGCCTACTCTGA